TCCTCCACATAGACGAGCAGCTCCAACACCCCCACATCTTCATTTGTGCTCACCTCGGTGCCAGGTTCATGTTATGCTCGACACGGAGGGCCATGCGTTATCAACTTCCTGCGGCATTTCGCAGAAGAACAGGCCGAGCCCCAGGCAGCATCACTCATGAGCCTCACCTCTAAGTGTGCTGACGTCACAGAGACCGCCACATCAAAAGCCGTCTGCACCAATCTGCTGCCCCAGGCCAAGCTCGCCGATCCCAAGGTCCCGGAGTCACAACTCACGGCCTCTCCACTAAGGAAGCCAGGGACCGGATCCCCCCCACATTGGGCACTTTGCGTTATTGCATCGCAGGGGCACATACCACCTGTCCCAAGGGCAGTGTCGTAAGAAGTCCCCAGGGCCAGGGTGAAGATGTGAAGGCGAGGAGAACCGATGGTCACCGACATGCCATCGACATAATCGCTGGAGTCGATCCCGCTGGAATCTCGGACTCCGGTCTCGAAAGCATCTGTGGAGCCTTTCTGGTAGATCTTGGCTGTCCCGAAGATTCTGTCGTAGATCCGCCGCCCCTTCACATTGCCGGCTTGTTTCATGGCGGTGGAGGTATCCACCACAGTGGATGAAGAAGGGAAGGCAGATCTTACGCAAACCTGGTTGCCAGCTGTGCCTGTGGTGATCTGCCACGATGCGGGACAAGCTCCCGCACCCTGTGGATCAACGTTCAAGACCAAGACGTTGCCACCACGGCAGTCCGGCAGCAACCCCAGGGCCAGACAGAAGAGTCGAAGGATCGGCATGGCCAGGCCTCCAAAAGCCAAGGACCTAGAGCCCTCGCCCCAGCCTCAAACACTCCAAAAGTCCTTTCGGGGCTTGTCCTACAGGCACCACGTTCCAGGGGCTCGGAGGAGAGGACTTCCACACTTCAGGATTCTTTAAAACTACATACACTTCCTCAAACCCTAAACCCCAAATCCTATTCCAGATCTTACGACAGCTGAGCCGCCAAGAGGCAAAGCAAGCAAGACACAAATAATATCTTTCCTGCTCTCAGGAGTGTGCCTCTCGCAGCTTGTGTTTTCTCTGTCGCATTTCTTGATTCCTTCTGGAAATCAGCGGTCTCAGTGCACTCATGCCTCTTAGCTCTAAACCATCGATAATTGGCCGTCAAGAGGTCCTCTTCACTTCTCCTTAAACGTTACCGCCCGACTGTGAAATTGACCCCAAGCCCTTCTACACTTATAACTTATGCGAAGAAAGGCGGGCCATGTCACAGCCCAAATTCTTACAGATTCGAGGCAGGAGTACCAATGGCACAAGTCTTTACCCAAGCCCTTAGATGCACTCAAAACCAGGCTACATAGAGTGCCGTGCAGATGATCGGACACCCATGTGGAGGTGCCGGCGGCCTCTTCTGCTTGGCCTCGTCTTCGGACGCGCCTCTACCATGGTCGCCCGTGTTTGGGGGGTTATCTCGATTGGGGGTCGATGTATTGAGGATCCCACTACATGAGTTGCACATAGTGTGGATATCGGGATCTGTCAGTTTCTGAAATCCCCCATTTGGGATAGCTCGCCTTCCCAGTTTCGGGGTCAAAGCCTACCTCATGCCAAGCACTCGCGAGCTAAGGCTTGGCACGGGGCACAAGTTGGGGTTTAGTTCGGCTTTCGGGGCCAGGGAACCAAAATTCGGGTTTGGGAAACCAAGACCTGGCACAACCAGCAAAACAGACACCTGCAGCGCCCCGGAGCCCCCCCCTCAGGCCACACCCACCGGGAACTCGGGTCTTAGCTAGCCGTCTCCAAGCACGCAAAGCTTTAGAGCACGCTCACTTGGACTAGGCCGGCGCACAACTGGGAAGAGATCTTTTCGCTTGGCGCTACTTCCTCTCCAAACACCCCTTAAAAAGGACGACAACGGCTACACCGGAGAAATAAGAAACGAACCTCTCGGGTTGAGTGATGCATCGAGGGGCTTTGTTTCGAAGCTCTCAACTGCTGCCAGTGCTGTTCTGGTGAGTGCTGCTACATTGCAAGCACTAGTCTCGTCCCGCGAGCGATTGTTCTAGTAAACATGGCGCCATCATCAACACATACACAAGCAGATTCCCTAGATCGGGACTGCGTCCCCAATGGAATCCAAGGCGGGGCACCGCTGAGGATGGTTGCAGGCTGGAGCTCTGGAGCTTGCGGCAGGTCCTCGGCTTTGGGGCTTTTATGTTTAAATATGTGTTGATATATATATATATATATAGATATATAGATATATAGATAGATAGTGTACATAGTGTATAGAATATGACATGATATACTATGATATTAATGAGTTCGCCCACAGGCACGTTGCTGCTAGGATTTCCTGGCTGTGCCCCCATGGTGCTAGGTCCGGTAGGTCAGCATGTCAGGCGAGTACTGCACCTTTCTGGGGATGCCTCACCTATCTTGGACTTCCGAACACCGGCGGTAAAGAAGATTACGTGGCCCGGAGGAGTGACTAAAGGTTGAAGGATGTATAACAAAGTTTCACAAGACCGGCGAAGTTATGGCTGGGCATTTCGCTGGCATTTCTCACAGCCACCCTACATCACCGGTAAGCTGCCCCATCGCAGGGAGTCAAAGCGAGTTGGAGACCACTTGCATCCTAATCATTAATATACTATTAGTAGCGTATACTAGTATAATGCTATTGATTATAATATTATTATTATGTGTTTGCAACTCCAGGGCCCGGGCCCCCTTCTTGGGGGAAGACGCCACTCGCACCTCTGCCGAGTCCGACAGCTCTCACAAAGCAGAGCATACCAGAGCTGGGCAGCCGGCCTTGTCTTCTCTGAAGCCCGCCTTTAGGAAAGAAGCCACCTCAGCTTCTTGATGGATCTGCGGCTGGCTGAGCAAAGCCTATCAAAGCTTTCACCTTGCAAGAAATCTGAAAAGTCAAGGGCACGCACAGAGTTCGAAAATTTCAATCTGGGCAGCTTAGCACCGCACCAACGAGCTATACCTGAGAATGCTTGCCGCTAAACCCCTCAAAGGCACTTACGGCCTTCAGGAACAGTTGTAGCGTCATACTAGGCTAGACAGTCCAGACTAGACTAGTCTGGACTATACCATGCCATGCCATGCTAAAGTACGGCTATATTGCTGTAGGAGTCTGTAGGTCGGCCGGGCCCATGTAAGCAGGGAAATCCGGGAAATAAACGAGTTCGCGCCAGCACACGATGTCTCCTTCCGCATCTTCTGTCGCACCTGGCTCATGTATGTATGTATGTGAGACAAGGGCCTTAACTGCAAAATTGGAAGAGGGATGTGGGCTACAGTTTCAGATGGAATAAATTATGGTATGACTCCTCGGCCCCCTGGCCCAAAATAGCTTCCGGCGATGCTCGAAGCCCATGCATGGGGGCATGTAGAATGTAGCACAACATCTGCACATGCGACTGTTGACTCCCAAGTTGTCGAGAAGCCACCCACAAATCGCTGATTCTGGCGAAAGTCCCCAGCAAGGCTCTCTACCCTTGATCAAGCAAGTCACGTTAAATTAGAAGGCGCCTGATATTCTGATTAGAATCGTACATACGTACATACGTACATACATGCATACATACACACAGAGACATGCAGACATGCAGACATACAGACATACATGCATGCATGCGTACATACTTGCACTTTGCACTTTGCCCGTTCGAGTCAGAGACTACGGTCCTTTAAGGACATGGGTGACAGGTGGAATCTAATTAAGGTACATCATCTTTACAGACTTGGATATAGCGGTGTCGTAAAGAGTCCTATTCTGGCGAATCGGCGACATCATGCCACCTGTCTGCTAAAGGAAAATATGCACGACTGAAACATTTACAGATCATCGTCCCACCGTTTCGGCGGTCTGCCAGGCTTTCTCTTCGGCTGTGTTGCCATATTACATAGCTCCGATACTTACCAGGTAGTGGGCTCTCCGGGTCCCTGCAAGCAGACCCTCTGCAGAGAGCTGAGCAAGACGTCCGGCCTTGGCCCACGCCGCTTCCCTCTGCGACCTTCACTTCTGGAGCTCCGCGGTACTACACCCACCACACTGCACCATGCCACACTACTCTATGCTAGCTGGAAGGATCTGAAAGATACATGAAGCCGCTGGGGCGTCCGATGCTCAACTCTTCAAAAATGACCTTGGGAGGAAACCTGACGCATCATGCTTGCTCAAAAATTAGGATTTTCGAGAGGCCTGAATCGCGAGGAATTTCTTTCAAGCCAGCAGATTTGTCAATGATAAAGAACTGACAACGAAGTCCAACGTGCCAACCGTTTGGTCGGAACCTGAAGAGCAGATTGCAGCGCCGCTCACGGCAGTCGGTCTCTGCAGCAGCCTGACATACAAAAAAACGCACACTAGCCATAGCTGGAGTCCTGCCGCTGTGCCATACAGTGCAGCTGGCTGGGAACAAGCTCAGGCCTGACCCCGGGACCGTGCGCGCAGCAGGCCCTGGCATGCAAGCAAACGCCTGGGAGAGCTGCTAGGCTATGTCAGGGCTTGCACGAGGCGGCCCTGTTTCTGCGAATGGCGTTTATGGCCGCGCCAGCTTTCCAGGCACGACCGATTTCCAGACGCCGCGGGTCACGTTCATGCGGCTCCTCAGGAGCCCATGGCTGTGTTCTTTGGCGGTTCTGATTCAACGACATGCCATGACACTCGTCAAGCCCAATTGTTGCGCAGGCAACGGCGCAGTAGTTGGTTGCAAACACTGCAATACCAGGATTGTGGGGAACCTGTGCTTGCAGGCTTCTAATGTGAACGACTGTGCCTTCTGCTGCCATGGTCCAATACTATTTCTAGACTAGTGAGACGCGGCAGAACGGAACTGTCCGCTGAATTGGTCAACAAACCATCAGTTGTCCACCAAGGTGATCAAAGACTGAAGTGGCCCTGACAGAAAGCCAGCACACAGGCAATGCTGGAGGCAGGCATCCGTTTCAGCGATGCCGGAGTATGTGATGTCGCTGCCTCGAAAAGATCAGGATCCCGTGAGGAAGGTAGGTTCGTCCATGGATGGGCCAGATGTGAGCACCTTGGACGGCAGACTACCATCAAACCAACAGCAAATCGAGAGCGGCGAACAAGATTTAACACGTCATAGACAGTGGTAGCTGCCTGACTCAAGTCCACACAGACGCCTGCAGGTCCTCTGCAAACCAAGTGACACTGCTATAATCGCCCACAGTGTCGCCACCAGTCACCGTATCGATGGAAGTGCCCAGCAGGTCATCAGCCCTTGGTGTGCGCAGTTCGTCACACTGCGGAAGTGAATTCTTCAGAATCTTCGAATCCTGACATAGAACCTCGCCACACACATCATCATCGTCATCATCATCATCATCATCATCATCATCATCCAACCAGGCAGTCTTGATGCTCTTCTGCTGCAGGCAGACTCAACCCACCACTTTCTTCCACAGCCCAGTATTGGCTTGTTACCAGTTGCAGTTTGATGACGTGCAGTTGCTGTTTTGCAGTTTGTCGCTTGCAGCTGAGCAGTTACGAGGCAGTTGAGCAGCGGCAATGGCAATTGACTGCCTGCTTGGCTGCCTGCTGCTTGCCTGCCTGCCTTGGGTTGAGCCCAGTCCCAAGCTTGGGAGACCATCCCATAACAGACATGCACGCCAAGGAACATCTTCTCGGTAGCAGACTTCTGCCCTGGAAGGCGAATAGGAGGGGCCGACAAGTCGTACATGTCGCAGTCTCTCTTGATCAACAACTGTACATCTCCTCAGCCGCGGCCACGAGTCTGTAGCACGCAACCCTGACAAGGCACCCCTGGAAGGATCTAAAGAATAGAATTTCCAAGAAAAGGCCCAGCTTAACCCATTTAATGGCTCTAGTTGGTCTATATCACAGATTAAGCCCAAGTATCCGTGGTTCTGCTGGCGCACGGTGGGCATCATCATGTCTACCCGATCTTGGGAAAGATGGATGCCGCAGAAGATGCCCCTGAGATGCACCATAATTAAGTGTTTGCTCTTCTCCGGTAGCTAGTACTCGTCGCATGGTTCGCAGCAGCAGCAGCAGCAGCAGCAAAAAGAGTAGTAGTCGTCGTCGTCGACATCGTCGTAGCAGCAGCAGCAGCAGCAGCAGTAGCAGCAGCAGTAAGAGAACTCTTGCCAAGCTTGACGATCTGGATCTTAATTGATCTTCGCTAGCAGTACTCACAAGCCACTTAGAGACTGCGACTGGCATACAATATCGATATACTCGGCAAAACCCCGTCGTTCATCTTATATCCAGTGTCTTCTGTTTCCGAGCACAGATTTCGGTCTCAGATCGTGATCAAGACTCAACGGCAAGATAGCAAGCCTGAATCGGCTGCTGCTGAGTTCTATGCTGCTTCGGGGCGGTTCAACTTTTGCAAGCTAGCAGTACCTGCATGCATGTGCAGCAGGAAAGACATGAACTCCAAGCATGAGCCTGATAAGTGACCCAACGCCTTGAGTCCGCAGCATGTCAGAGCGATGCGATTACTTTGACGTCCAGGGCATCGGGGCAAACAAGCAGAGCGGCTCCCAAGGCAGCCTTTTTGGGGCTTGGGGCTCCAAGCTCGGCCGGAGATAGCTTCCGCAGCGCAGCAGCTTTCGGTCGTTGGCTGCGGCTTCGGGTTCCGGGTTAGCTCGCACGCGTAAGGACAGGCCTAAACCTCAAACTGAAGGCTCTGCTTTCGGCTCAGGGCGTCGGGAATCACGGTGAACTCAGATCGAGGATGAGCCTGAACCCTCTTACTGGACCCGGACGGACCCGGACGTTGTCCACATGCGGTTTCGAGTCGCACACTCGCAATGGGCAGGCACAGATTCATTCATGAGTGCGGTTTAGGGCTTTGGCCTTCTCAAGAGTCTCGTAAGCATCATCGCCGAAAAAGCAAAAAAGAAGCCTCGATCATCGCCAAGTAACGGCTTCGTTCTGTTACCAACTTGTGGTGGTGGAGACGGTGTCAGAACTTCGCGTTTCATCAGCCGGCCTCAGACATGGCGAGACAGTCTGCTACGTCGAGCTTGCAACTTGGAGCGTGAACTTCACGAACCTCACCCAAAAAGACATGCACAAGCCGGAAACCGGCCGAGTCTCCATTCAGGTAAGTCAGCCGCTCCCGATCTCCATTCGCGAGATAGAGAAGTCCCTCGCCATCCTCGCAGCATGACAGGCAAAGTCACGTGTGGTTTTACTGCGCTTGGGCCTACATCACAACACTGAGGAGACCAAGTGGCGATACCAACAGCTACGGGGCAGCTAGGGCAGAGAAGTTGTTTTGCTCGTCCATGCCACTGCAATGAGAAGCAACCGAGCCCGATCACCGCCCAGGGCGCCAAGAAAATTCGGGCCGACGGCTTCTCGACACTAAGATGCCAAGGCCAAGGCACGTACTTCCCATGACTCCAGGCCCCTCGGTACTGGGAGCCGTCGGCGAAGTAGTAGATGCCCAGGCCGCTGCATTGGCCTGGGCACTGATTCCGCCAAAACTTTTGCGACATGGTGTGACATGGTGCTATGTTTCAATGTTTATATAGTGCTGAAGAGACGGATGTAGATACATACATATATGTATGTGTATGTATGGATGCATGTATGTATGTATATAATTTTCAGAAGAACACGAACACCACGCGGTTCGAGGCTTCGAAGCCGTGGTTTCAGAGACTTCCGTCTTCGGTCTGCTTGCGAGGGAGGGAAAGGTTGCCTTGTCGACCGATTCATTGCGTTCCCGAGCCCGAACTACACTATCCGTCCCGGCATGGCCGGATTGCTGGGGAGATCGCCCTTCGGCTTTGAAGCTGTGCCCTCTCTGGCAGAAAAGTGTGCAAATCCATCCAAAGCGATGCATGCGTAGGCTAATCATAGACGTGCCAAGTACACTTCAGGCATCCGTCAAGCTGCCGTTGTACCACCATCCATCGTAGGAATCGCCGTTTGCATATTCCTGAAGCTGCAGTTCGCCGCGAGTCATGCCCCGTACGACAACACGGCCGGATAGAGTCTAAACATGGCTCCCCTCGCCCCAATAAGGGCCTCAAAAATGTAGAAAGTCTCAACCTGAGACTCGGAGCAGGCACACTGCAGCCCGGCCTGAATGCCCTTGCCGTGCCGCTTTCCATCATGCCAGGCTCCTGTGACTTGCTCAGCGAATCTGGTTTCTGGAATCTGGCTCAACTCGAAAAGTGTTGCAGCAGGCTGCTGCGCATCATTACATTCCAACACCCAACACGCCGAATTTGCCTCACCGTTGCCCTGCAGAATACGAAAGGAAGCTGGATATCAACAACCAGAAGCCAGACTGACTGCCAACAGCTTACCACATCTTAATGGATTAGGAGCGGTCCCGTGTACTTGAGGTTCTCTTCGCTGATGTAAGTGCCTTGGCCCTGCTTTCTTCCATTTCGCCAGTCGCCTTCATAGGAGCTGCCATCCTCGGCAGGCTCGAAATGCACAGACCGTCAGGGCCAGGTGCCGGGGTTCAATTTTGTAACACGAACCAGAGAGAGTCCAAGGCGAGGCGCCGGCCAGACGTGCCTGCCTTTGCCGTGGAACTTGTCGACCTCGAACTGGCCGACGTACTTGAGGCCGGTCCTCGGCTCTGAGCTGCACTCCAAGCCTCCTACTGGGACCACGAGTGGCCCTCTTTTCTTGGCAAGGTATCGCTCTTCTAGGCCTACACTGTTGCTGTCGGCTGTGGATGCCGTGCTTGCCATGCCTCTTCTTGGAAGATGACAGCAACGACGACGACGACATCGACGACACGCTTTAGAATGTACCGGGTTTTGACCCACGCCACGTAGGTGGTCAGCCACACTCTTCACAATACTGAGGCGTCACGAGCGACCAATAGTCAACGTTTCGACTTCTTGGACTGGGGGAATAGGCCTGACTCAATCAAAGACACTCTCGGTTTCGAGTGCGATGGTCATAGTAGCAGGTTCGGCGGTACAGTAGGGGCCTCTCCATAGCGATCCATGCAGGCATCTCTCTGGCTGGACAGGAGATGCTCACGCATAGCCATGCAAATCCCACGAACCGTCAGGCTAGGATCTCGTATCTCACTCTTTCACTGGTTTCCGCGCAAAGGTCCAACCTCACCTGCTGCCCCCTACGAAAAAAGAGCCGGACAATTATCTGTTTATGTACCTGTTTCTTTCGTACGGCTTAGAATCAGCCTCTTTCTTTCGTCAGGGTTAGGGTGTAGGGGGTCCTGTCTCTCTCTCTCTCTCTCTCTCTCTGTCTCTCTCTCTTCTCTATACAACCCTTCTTCTGACAAGCACTGAAACTCATAAATTGGTGTCTGGGCACTCCGTGTTCTCTAGCGTCCCATGCCCATTCCTCAGGAAGAGCTTGTACTCCCCTTCGTAGTAGCTCGCCCCGCCATCCAGCTCCTGACCATCTTATGAGGATCATAATGCCCTGTATCCACGCCGGGGTCTTTAGTACGCGGTCTGCTCGCTGCCACCATAAACTCGTACCCCCAACGTCCTCACGACCGAAGCCGAAATGCTTCCTGCCGGGCTTGGCACCGTTTCGAGTTTCAATGTCGACTTCAGCAACTCGTACATCCAAGCGTAGTATCAGAGAGTGAGCTGCCTCTTAACCGAACTGTTCGATTGCCTGGAATAAACTGTTCACTCCTATGCTTTGCCAAAACACCGAAACCTCAGACTGAACTGAAACGGCACGCATTATGGCCTTCCGATGTCCGACTGCAGGCCGTGCTTTTTTTGGTGTTGGGCCTGACAAAGACCCCCCTGCTCTGGGGATGCTAACCATAGGGCCTAATAAAGAATCTACCCTAAGCCATAAAACTGGGGCGGTGCGTCTGTTGGACAAGGCTTTGTAGTCTTTCGTGGATAGGGGTTCAGGGACAGTGTTCTGCTGCCTCCTGCGCCGCTAGGACGAACCCGCCAGGCAGCGAAGTCTGCTAGAACACTGCAGGGAACTGTCGGTGCCATCAAGGCCCGGAAATCCAAACCCCTGCTTCCCCTTCAACGGTCAGTCGGCTCAGTTTCATCCGATTTTCTTCTCGCCTTCGATAAGAATCCCCCTTTTTGTGGTGTTTAGGGACCTCAGCCTTGAGGGACCAAAACCCGGCCTCCAAAGGGATCCTAACTATGAGGACCGTAGGGGGGGAGCCTTTGACAGATTGAGGTTGCAACAAAGGGATACTGCGCAAGAGTTACTAGAAGGTTGTGTGGAGTTTTAACGGCGACAGCCCTCACCCCAAAGCCGAACGTGATCTCGGCCTCTGATTGCAACCCCCAGCCCGGCTTTGCCAAAGGCTTGCTGAAGCAAAGCAACCCTGAACACCACATCCCAGAAACTCAAGAACAAAGCGCGCTACCCCTAACAGTTACAACCCGCATCCCTGCTCCCTCCCGACACGGTGCCTTCACCACCAAGGACGATAGCATCTCTGACCCCCTCAGTGCTTCGCTGTGGCTTCAACAACTCCAAAAGGTCTAACTCCAAGTACGAACACCGCACCGAAGTCCAAACTGAAGCCTTCGGCTAGGATACCTCGCGAAACGGCTCGCTTGAAGTGGTCTTGCCAATTGCAACAACCTATGGCAAGAACCCGTGCATGCAAGGTTTCTTCTGGCGCAGTCAAGTCCAGAACTTAGTTAAGGTTATGGTACTGCAAAGCCTTCTGGAGGCGAGTTCAGGCAAGCCGCATGGCTTGGTGGCTCGAAAGGAGTAGCAGCAGGAGCGCAACAAAGCTTGCGAAAGCGGTGTCCAAGCTACGACACCGCGAGAAAGCTATGAATGTTCAAGCACTGCCTCTGATCTGCAATCTTGATCTGCAGCTGCATGTCAAGAGTGTATCACTTCTTGGGGCTAAAGCCTTGCACCCAAATGGCTGCATTCACTTTGGGCGGTCAGCCGTAGCATCGAAAACATCGTCCAACGCATCAAACCTTTTGCATTCGGGCCTATTGCATCAAACCTACTATCCTAAACCATCCCTCCTGCAGGAGCACGCAGGTGCAACCAACGGCTTGCAGGGTTGTCGCCCCTCTGGACGACCCTTTTTTGTCGAACTCGGGGTTGCTCGTCAGTGCCATGTCTACAGTCACAAAGAAACGAGGTCATGCAAGGCCCCCCGGCAAAGGATTCTGGAGAAATACGTGACAATGCGTAAAGTAGGGCAGGGAATTGGGTGGACAGTGGAACCTTTCCTCAGGCTCCGTATTGAGCCGTATCGCGCAATGTCGAAAACTTTGATGTTGGCAAGGCGATGAACTTGAGGAGGAGGGAGGAATGAAGACGATAATTACAGTGCCCGGACGAGAGTCATGATTACTTCGGTGAAGTTGGCTTCGGCAATGAGCAGCCGGATGGGAGGCTTTCTGTTGCCGCTGCTAAGGCCCTGCTCTGCGCGGTGGCGCGCAAAACTGCTGTGTTCGGCGGGGAAGCCCTGAGGGGCCCTTGAACCTCAAGTCCTCACTAAAAGGTGTGTAGGACTTCTCATCCCTGCCCCAAGGCCTGAATATGAGGCTCTTCTGAAGGGCCCCTCTTCCCCATACTAAGATGCTATCCTAAGCCCTCGATGGTGGCTGTCGAAAGCCACCTCCGCAAGCTTGGCTTTGGCTCTGCATGGACCAAGGCACCAGAGATTCATTGAACATAGTGCATATGGTGCACGAGGATGCTGGAACCCTGGTCCAAAATGGCTGTTTCAAGGCTTTGTCATCTTGCTCTCTGGGTCGTTTTGGAGTCCGAACACGTCGTCCCTCTCTCTTTTGCAATTAACCTTCTACAGGTGATTCTGCAGACAGATGCGCCCAGACCTCTTACAATTGAGCAAGACTCGAAACCGGTGGGAAGATACTCTGCGGCGTGGGTTCAGATTCTGCTGCCGTCTCACGGATCATCAGCGAGAAGACCTGAACCAGTCACGCTAGGATCGCAAGGCGGACTGAAAGAACCACGGCAAAAGTGCATTGAAGCTTGTTGCATACACACAAAGAAATCGCGAACCTCCAGCATCTGAAGAGCCATAGCAGCTGCCCACATACTTTATAAAAAATGATGTAACATTACATTTCCTGTCTCATCGCTTGGACTAGGATTTCGTTGCATCCAAAAGTAAAATCTTGTCAGCTTGAATGCTGGGCATTTTCCGGAGCACTAGGCGATATCATGCCGCAAGCGAATCGAAACACGACCCATCCAAACCCATAACCACAAACTCTAACCTAACACACGCAAAGCACCCTGCTATCAACCCGCTTCTAGCACTCCATAATGAGTGAACCCCCGATCATGGCCGAGAATGAAGCCTAGAACACGACCCCAACTACTAGAAACTCCGGTATACCCTCCAGAGTCCGAGTGACGCAACGTAGGTTGCCAGGCTGCAAGTTGGCGCTGCCTCTCCTGAGGTTCGCCGGGTCTTCGGCTTCCATCGAGTGCGCTTTTTGGATCTCGAACCTCTCTTACACAAACAAGGAAAACAAGGATGGGTTGCTGGGGTTTCGACTCTTGCAGTAGCACACGGCTACAGTAGGCTTCCACACAAGCGCCCACAGCTACCATCAGCTCCCACAGCGGCAACTCGTTTCCCAGGATCGGTGCTGTGTAGTTCAGTTTTAAGGAAATCTTTGTATGTTCCATCTTGAGCCTACAACACATGCTAGTGCCTTGTGTTGTCGCATAGCTTTCTATGGTGCCACATGCTATCTACTTCTGCTGGGAAAAAGGAAATGGTGAAGTGCGGATGTTGCTTGCCACCTCATCGCCAGGTTATGGCGCAAACCGAAGATTTCCTCACAGCTTTTGTGTTTTCGGGCCCAGAACATTGATGTCGTTGACGTTTGTCCATGGTGAGCCTCCCGAAGAATGAGACTGGGACCCAACACCTTGAGGCTTGACCGACTTCTCACACTTTGTGAGCACCAAAAGATGTGCTCATTCTGAGGACTTCCTCAAGAAAATGAGGCTGCTGTTTTGTTGGGTCAAATGCAGGCCAGGCTGGGCATGAGGACCGGCCGGAAAAATCAACCAACAAAGGCCCTCGCTTTCAGCAAGATTCAGCTGTTGTAAGCATTTTACACTCTGATGCTATTCGTGAAGGCCGGCTGCAACCCGTTGTAGGCCGGTGCGCAGTGCCCCTGCCGAAACCCGAAATCCCCAAAACCGGGTCACCTGAAGTGGAAACCTGCCTCAACCTCCCAAACACCTGAAGCATCCCAAGACCCGAGAACCCAAACATACTCCCACCCCAGAATATGGCATACTGTAGCATATTAAGTCTATGACTGTATTGTATAGATATCATAGATTCTCATAGAATACTAGCATATGATAGTCTATTCCCATCAGCATCCCCGAACCCCAATATCGTCGGTGCACCTCCAGCCCTGGCCCCTTCGGCACAATGAAACACTCCCGGCGGAGTTTCGCCTCGGGTTCTTGTGTTTCGGGGTTTCGGGGTTTAGGGGTTTAAGGGTTTAAGGGTTTTATGGGTTTAGGGTTTAAGGGTTTAGGGGTTTAGGGGTTTAGAGTTTAGGGTTAAGGGTTTAGGGTGGTCTCAACTCGGACTAGCCCGGCGTTGAGGGTTTAGGGATTTTGGGCCCCCCACCTAGCTAGGACGAAGCGCGCAAGGCAGTGTAGGGATTCAGGGTTTTGGGGTGTAGGGGTTTAAGATTTACAGTAGGGGTTTTGGGAGCCCTGCGGCTGAAGGGCAAATTCGAAGTACAGAACATGCGCTCTCAGCTATCAAAGTGAAAGTGCAAAAGTCAAGCCCGGGATGTACAAGGCACAACGTCTTGACCGAGGGGGACAAACCAAGATAGCCAGTCCCTCAGCCCAGAATTCCACAGAGCACTGGACTTCAAGGGTGCTTGCTCTAAAGCGCCAGCACTCAGCCTGAACCCCGAACTGTAGTGAGACCGCGAACCGAGAAGGTTTCGGTGCTCACACTCGGACACTCCAGGCGCAGCATGTGGTTTAAGTGTCGCAGCAACTGCTCTTTGTTGTGAATTCATCCATCAAACAACAACACCACCAATAATCTACAACCTGCCAAAAGGGTTGGATGCTGACTTATCCCAAAGTCCACGTTTCAGGTTCAGGGTCTAGTGTCTGACTCTCACGATTTCGGCGCTCACACTCGGGCAATCCAGGGGAGACAGTACTGAGGGCAACTCGGGGTCTGGGGAGAGTGGCTTGACGCTCGGTTTCAGCACTCACTCTCGAACATGTCTAGGCGAGGTTCCTGGCGTTCGGTTTCGGGTTGGGGGAAGTGGCCACTCGCACGCGGACAAGCCAGGCAAGGAGTGTGACGACGGTCTAACGGGATTGAAGCAGGGAAGGTAGACTGCAACACAAACTAGCGAACTAGCTCAACGAGACAGCGGCTCATCGACCAGGAACCTGAGACCCTAGTCTTATCGGCTGGCTACGGAGGGCTTCAGTAGGGTCTTCCTTGGTTGCCAAGCGGCAGGTTCTGAGTTTAGGGGCTGAATTTGAAGCATTATTTGCCTGATCCAGGCTAACAGATTGGAGTTCAGCTCGGGGCCTTTGGCACGCTGCCCACAGTACGAAATACGTTGGGACCTGGCGTGGCACGCTAGTCCGGTAGTTGAAGCGGGACGAGCGTGGGCATGTCACGTAAGGACGATCGGGGCAAGCCTGCGCTCAAGCCCTAAGGCCTTCTTTTCAAGACGACTTTGAAAGCTTCTCCAGCTGCTTCAGCCACACAATTTTGTGGCCCATGGTCTTGATCTCGAGGGAGTTCCAGAACTCACCGTCCACATCACTTACGCTGACCTCGGCTGGCCCTTTTAAAGCCGCTGACAAGTGTTCGTAAATAAGATCCTCTTCTTCACCATAAGGACAAACATATCCTTCCTACAACAGGAGAAAGTATGCCAAAGGCCCACCCGGTCACCTTCTTGGTGGGATCCTGGAAGTTGCAGAGGCCTTCGAGGCAGTCCTTGAGCTGCGACATTTCGAAGAACTGCTCCTTGAGGCTTTTCGGATGGAGGTACCATTATACTATAATTATAATAATAAGGAGCCCCCCCAAAAGAGTATAGGTAATTATTTAGGCTTGCGGTTTCGACACGCACGCTCGCACAAGCCGGCACGGACCGAAGCAGCAAGTCTCTGAACCAGGTTGCTACAGGGACATGTGGCGCCAGCATACAAAAATCCAGGGTTCAGGGTTGTAGGGTGATTTCGAAAAACTGCTCCTTGAGATTTTTGAGGTAGAGGCTTTTGAACTTGCCTTTGCCCTCGTCGAAACCATTGAGCCACTCTTCGAAATCCTGTGGGCCACCAGAGCTCGTGGGACTGGCAGCTGGTGTAGAGCTGCTCGCCGGGTTCTTCGGAGCTGGGGGAGCAACAACAGAAGCCGGCTTCAAAGTCACAGGAGATGTAGCGGCAGGCTTCAGAGTTACAGTAGGACTGGTTGCCGGCTTCTTCGAAGCGGGGGCATCCTCATGCTGCTCGGTACCACTTCGCTTTTGGTTGTTACTATTGTCCTTACCGTCTGTGCCGGCCATCCGTCTGGGTCTGGCTTTCGGTTTCGGCTTTGCCGGCGCTGGCTCACTCTCCGCCTGCTCGTCGACCGACATCGAAGGCTCTGGCTCTGGCGGTGGGGGCGGCTTGGCCACGGGCTCAGGTGGTTGAGGTGGGGGTGCTGGCTGAGGCGGCGGCACCACCTGAGGTGCACTCTGCATAGGCTGGAGAGTGACACTGCGCCAAGCCTTGGAAATTGCCCGGACACCCTCCTCCGCAATTTTAAACTCGTGGAAGGCGATGTATTCCTGGGCTGGAGATGGCCACCGATAAACGTGGACTGACAAGGGAACTAAACAAGCTACCCTCCAGAAGCAAAGAAACTGTACTCCTAGAGCCAGTTTCTGAAACATAAGCGGCGACATGCGGGTCGCTCTTCCACTCCGCTTGCATTTGGACCTGTCCTTCCTGAGCGCCTTGCTGGAGCAGCAGATGGATGTAGTCGCTCATCAACGGGAGCAGCGTACTCCATGGCAGCCAGGCCTTCTTGTCCGGAACTTGGCTCCAAGCCCGGCGAAGCACTAGAAGGACTTGTCCAGGCACAGGGGCCATCAGCAGCTGTGGCAACGGCATGCCGCCGAGAATGGTGGCAAGTTTCCACAAAGTGATCAGGAGAGGATCGGAGCTGAAGTCGCCGAGTGACTGCACCAGCCGCTTTCCTGTCCAAAGGCGCATCATCAAGCAGGTGATTTTTGTGCGAACCTCTTTGGCTTGCTTGACCTCGTAAACGATCACTTTGGATGTCAAAATCTTGATGACGGTATTGCTGACGTCCCGGTCGAGCAAGGATTTAAGGACCACCACGACCAAGTTCGGAAAGTCGGTTTGTGCCGGCAGCTGCAATTGCTGCTGAAATTCCGAGAGCACGTGCCACGCTTCCTCCCGGTCGGGTTCACGCGTTGGGACAACAGATATCCCACGCCTTTCCGCCCAAATAGCATACTCCCAGGCTTGGTACGTGCCGTGGTCGGTCTGCACACTTGCCCTCCAAATCACCTGCAGGGCTTGAGACGGGTGCTGGTTTCAAGCCTTCAACAGTTTTGAACCCGGCATGCCCCCTTGATAAGGTATGTTTAACCAAAGTCAACCCAAGTATACAAAATGCCAAATTCTAAACTCCCTGGCGAGCCAGCCCCTGCGTGACTCGGTTTTGACTACCCAGCAAGTGTATCTCAACAATCCCAAGCCGACTCGACTTGAGCTTCAGGAGTCGAAGGAAGCTGGAGGTGAACTTGAATGTAGATGATGAAGTAATGTAGTTATACCCATGGTAGAACTGTAACATTGCATCGCTGTAACATAATATAACATAGAAACAAAGTCTTAAAGAAATACAGTAACATGACAATGCGGTGATATAGTCATAGCTGCACCTTCTCCTGGACGGCCGCTATGGCCTGGGCCAGCGCTTGCGGTCCCGACCCTCCGGCCAAGATGAGACGATCCTCCACGATAGTCAGAGATAGCCCGGTTGCGTTTCTGATGGACTCCACGAAGTTGTCCCTCTCCGCTCCCTCTTTGGGGACCTTGTCCAAGAGCGGCTTGGGTACAGTCAAGATGGCACTGTTGGCAGTGGCCCGAAGACCATCGGCCTCTTCTCCGGCCTTATGCACGAGCCTTTGAAGCTCTTCGATTTGCTGGCTTTCGCCTGAGACCCAAACTTCCGAGGGCAGGTGGCTGGTCTGCGGTTCGGATGCCACGATGCAGACGTCCGCTCCTCGGCATCTGGCCACGATGGCTTTCTTTTCCCTCCGCAAATGTGAACTGTGTCGCGGAAGCACCTGGATACGCCGGACAAAGCCTTTGCGAAGGCGATCATAGTTGCGGACCACGAAGCAAGCTGGCTGAAAGCGATCGTGCCTTGCTGCACGAATGGCGTCCCAAACAAATTGCTCTGCAGTGTGGTCGTAGATTGTCTTCCGGTCTTCCGAGATCAGAGTCTTCAGAGCCTGTTTGAGCTTGCCTAAGTCCGTGGCTGCGGCACTTTGCCTGCGGAAGCCTTTCAGGATCTCATCTTTGGAGGCCTGTCGGTCTATGCCCAAGACATCGTAATGACTTCTTGGTAGTGTCTCTGCCCAGCTGTCCAGCGGTTGCAGGACACCGTCGCCAGTCCAAATCGTCTCCTGCCAGCCCTGTGGCATGGCAAAGGCTTCCTTTTGGAAGCCCAGAATCTTCTGCAGATCTTCAACTTGAACTTTGAAACCCTGCAAAGGAATGGGACCCGGAGGGGCCCCTGGACGCCTCCGGAACTGCAGCACACGGCCGCAGTACTGGAGACCATTCAAGGAAAGAGCTAAAGATGCAGCTTCGGGAGTGCAGAATCGGAGCGTCACTGGACCATCCGAATTCGCAGCGAAGATGCACTCCTTCAGAGGGTCGTCCTGTGGACGAATGTCCTCCTGCTCGAAACCCGCATCACCGAGGAATGACCACCATGCACTGTTCAAAAACTCGAGCAGGTAGTCCTTGCTAACGTCCCGCACGCCCAAGAGCTCGATGTCGGCCATGGTTCGGGGACACTACCGCATCATTTGCTATAACAATTGTGTTTTTCTTGGTGGTGAGTTGCGGTAGCAGTACTGGCATTGGCAGTTGTCGCGGGAGGCTAGGAGTTACCGTCGCAATCCCAATTTACAGTGTCTCTGTGCTTGAGCTGCTATACTGCTTCTACAAGTGGGCCATTCAACTTGAGGACTGGCAACACTGTGACCAGGGGAACTTTGTTCCTGCCCTCAGCCAGTGTCTCATGGACAACAGATCCGACCATGCAGGCAAGTCACCACCGTGGGCGGCGTCCCTGGCTCACCCAAGAAGACCCGCACGATGTAGCGCTGCTGGTCCGTGTCAAACCCATCTACGTAGCCCCAATGGCCGTTAAAGTGCCTCGGTGCTCCACTAAACAGAATGCATTTGCGGCTTCCTGGTGCCCCGCAGTTTCTGGTTAAAGTCATGTGCACGCAACTTCCCATTCTCTCTCTCTGGCCCGCTTCGGACACGGTCTTTACTCGTCACTGACACAACAGATGATTCCACCTGTTTTGCAGACATGATAACACATAAATAGATACATATATATATATATATGTGTGTGTGTGTGTGTGTAATGACACAGAGTTTCCGAGGTACGGTGCATGGACAAGGCCGGTAAGAAGCACCCGCTGGCCAACGATCTCGGAAGCTCCTGGTGCGGATCTGGATCAGGATGATTGATAACAGTATAGTTGTATCCCTTACTGGAGTTATGAGGGTATTCCTGCAGTTTACCGTACACCCCAAGTCTACCAGCCGCCACGCCTGGAAGCTCCGGGCCTGCGTTGGGAGCTCGCGTGCGGGAGGCCCGACGCTGCGGCCGCTGAGCCGTGTGCCTGCCATGGGCCTCGGTTCCCAGCCCCAGCAACGTGGCAAGAGCGCTGCAAGGATACCAGAGGATACAAGGCTGAATTGCCAAGTTGCCAGTTCTGGCTCCGGTGCCGGCACCCTGCACCCTTCTTGCATAGTTGGCAAAGCAGGCGCATCGTGGAGCTTGCGGGCATAGAACGACCGACGAGGTGCAACTCGTTCTGAACCTGCAGAGGCTGAGGTAGTAGCAGTCGTGGTCGTACTTGCAACTCCAGATACCATGGTCGCCGCAGCAGTGGTGCAAGTTGAAACTGATGTCGGCGAATCTGCTCGCTTCTGGCAAGCGTGCGATGGCTTCGCGTGAGGCACGGGCACGGGCTTTGCAACTGGTCGCAGCTCGACCGGAGCTTCGTTGGGCTCCGGCTCGTCATCCGAGACCATCCTGCAGTTTTCCGCTGCTTCGGCCATTAGGGCCTGCTCCTTCCTGCGTGCGATGGCATGCTCCATGCGCTGCCGCACCTTCTTCCCAGCTCGCCTCCGTGGCTTGTAATAGCCCTTCTCAGAGCTGTCCCTGAGCTCCAGGCTACGGAGGGCAGCCGGGGCGCTGCCAGCGCGCGGCCGGCTTGGAGGCTCCCCTGCCTCGCCTGCCTCGCCTGCTTCGCCTTCACCGCTTTGGGCTGCTTGCCCTGTCAAGACCCCGACCTGCGCCCGCTGGGCTGCGCGGGTGCGCTTGGCTCGGATCCGCTTTCCGGAGCGGTAGGTCCGCTTCTTGCCGCTTTCTTTTTGGGGGCCCGGCTGCTCCGGCACCAGGAAGCAAGATCGTGGAGGAGCACTTCCTGACCGAGACGCCGCTGTCGTCTCTGCGACTTCGGTCTGCGCGACGGGAAGATCGGGGAGTCTCTTGGGCTCGTGGGACTCGTGGGATCCGTGGGATGCGTGTGGCAGCTTGGAGACTTCAAGCGCTTGGGAAAGGGAGGTGGAGGAAGTGGGCTGTGGCATTGCGACCTGCCCACTCCTGGCAGTTCTAGTCGGGAACCCTTGCACGTAGTCCTCTTGCACAGGCAGGCAAGGCACAGAAGGCACAGAAGGCACAGAAGGCACAGAAGGCACAGCCAGGCCCGAGGCTTCTGCAGGGGCTTGGGACAGGATGTGCGCTTGGGGCAGGAGAGGGATCTGGGGCAGCGGGAGCTGTGGGAGCTGCGGGAGCTGCGGGAGTGCCTGGAAAAGGCCGCCGCCCACCACAGTGCTCAGGGCACCTGTCTGCAATGCCATGGCTTGGGAGCCAGCTACGATTACGACGTTGCTGCCAGCATGGAAGTCGCCATGCAGGCCCACGGTTCCTGCTCTTGGCATGGAGTGGAGGGACTGGGCCTGGGGCTCCCGGGTCGCCAGCTCCGTGTGGAGCAAGCTGCCGGGCCTGTTGTCCATCATGTACTCCCAATCTGTGGAGGGGCATTTGCTCTCGCCGGAGACCTGCTCGGAACCAGATCCCGAGGAATTGCTGGAGAATCGACCTGCAGCCACAGGATGGAGATATGCCAAGCAGAACGACACATTCCGAATAACAAACAGCGAGCCCAGCCTTCTTCTTCTGCACCCGTGGAAGCATGTCGACGAGACTTTCTCTTTTCCTTACACCAGTTAGGCAAGTCGGCTCTCTTCATGGCGGTGTCCCTTCCCCGGACCATTGCAGGTGCAGGCTGTGTGATACTGTCGGGGATGTTGTCGGGGACATGTCTGAGGGAGTCGGAGGGAAACGGAAGTGCCGGCAAGCTATGCTCAACAGCGCAAAAGGCAGTGGAGCACTGCGTGCCTGCAACCTCTGCAACCTCTGCAACCTCTCCTTGGGGAGAGGTTGGGCTTAGGTCGGCCGGTTGGCTGTCGTTTGGCTGGGTCTGACTGGGCTGGCTCGGCTGGGAGCTGGGGCTCCGGGTCGAATCCTGTGCAGCCACTACTGGGCCAGGCTTCGTGGTCGCCGCAGTTGGGCTATCACAGTCGCAGCTGTCACACTCCAGGGGAAGGACGAGATCGGCCTTCAGGAATTGGAGGCGAACCTTCTCTGCCCGCGCCAGATGACGGCGCATTGACTGAAAGTGGCACACCCCATTGACGCTCACCAGCTCATCACCTCGCCGGAGGGGGCGCAGGCCTCGTCAGCCAAAGGAAACACTTTGCAAGGCGCCGCTACAACCACAGAGCAAATCCGCTCACATCTGTTCGGGCCTTGTGCCTGCCGGTCCTTAAGCTGGCCGGCTGGAGACTTTGCCTCCAAGCCAGCGATCAGAAACCTCGGAAGCGCTCTAGTTACTCTAGTTCTTTCGTGCTGCTGAAGGATCCTTCGAAGAAGAAATTCGACGAGAAGCCTTTGGGCTTCGAAGGCTTGAACGTGCCAAACGAAGCCCCAGGACTCGCTCCTCTGAGATCTCTCCAATGTGATCTCCATGTAGTCCTGCAGCTGCACAACAGGCTTGGATCCAAGATCTCTCAAGGGCCGAGTTCGCTCCTTTGAGATATCCTCTGGCACGTTGCTGTCGAAGGTTTGTGCGGTGTCTTCGCTTCGCTTACTGCGTCGCACGGCAGCCCCGTCAGGCGGGCTGCCACCTCAGTACCACTGCACAAGATGGCAGCTCGCCATCACCAGCATTCAGGCCATATTCTCACTCACAAACGTGAAGTCAAAACAGGTCTCTTGGGGAAACAACCCTGCGCATGACCAGACTCTGCCGAGAGACCGTGGGTTGTTCCATTGCGCCGCTTCGCAAGCCACGCAACAGCGGCTCCAATGAGACAAGCTGCTACCAGCCTGCGGCTTCCCAAACATCTCACAAACACAAGGGGCGATCTCTGGTTCTTCAAGAACACGATGGCCAAGTCCGCGGCGTCCAACAGGTCAGCCAATTCACACCCGAGGAAACGTCGCCTGTTGCACGAGAGCTGGACGAAGGCTCGCATTAACGGTTGGCGCAGGCCTCTTCATGCTACTTATACTGCCTATCTGCCTAACCTCTACAATACACTGTGCACGGTGCCTGCAACTTCCGCTATGTTGCGCTCTTGCTGAGTGCCATGCCTGTCATCAGCGTTGACAGGGCAGGAGTCTCCATGTCCGTGGTGTAGCCGGCCTGTGACGTTGAAAGCCACTGCAAAGGACAACAACAGATGCATTCTCTCTGAGAGAAACACCGCCGACCTTCAAGAAATCAATTCGCTCGTGCCAGTCCTTGCGCTCTGGTGCGGGTCGATACCGTGCAGATGTTTCTCAGCAAGCGTACAAAAAAAGCAGCTCCTGCCCTAACTGCAATCCAGCGGCGCTCAACCCCATGAGGGGAAACTCGCTGGCAATTTAAACATGTCTACTGCACATTTGGCTGTCTGAGCCTAGAGGACGCAGTTGCATGTCCACAAATCAACAAAGGAAAACAAGGGACAACATGGAACAACTTAAACGGGGACGGATGTAACACGCGTCTGCTGCAGAGTACGCTCGTGAGCTTAGCTCCCGGATCTGGCCGTATCCGCACAAAACTATCATCACACAGCAACAATGCAACTACCACTGCCTCTGCTGCATGACTCGCTGGCACCTCAGAAAGCCACATGCTGCCCGCAACCCTGATTCACTGATGGCTACGCCGTTTAGGGATGCTTTTCCGTGCTCGAAACACAGAAAGAAGCTCCTCGTCCTCCGCGTCCTCCTCCTCCTCCTCGTCCTCCTCCCTCCCTATCCTCCTGCTGCCTGCTGCTACTACCACTGCCCTACTACCACTACTACCACTACACCACTAGACCCCCCACTACCACCACCACCGAGACCACTACCACCACCACCACCACCACCACCACCACCACGAGCCCTACCACCATCACGACCATCACCATTGCCACCACTACCACTACCATGCTACTCTTACTGCTGCTGCTGCTGCTGCTGCTGCTGCTGCTGCTGCTGCTACTACTACTACTACTACTACCACCACTGCCTCTACTCTGCTGCTAAAGCTGCTATCATTGGTGACCAGCAGTTTCACAGACGTCTTTCAGCCCTGGCACCTGCTCGCCAAGACTGTCTTCGGTTTCCCACTCCGCGCTGCAGCGCCTGGGGCCCGAAACTGAGAGGCAGCACGGAAGTGCTGGCTACGAGTTGAGAGCGACCTAAAAGTCGATCTGCAAACAAGGTAGTCACTCTTTGACACTTCCATCTGTAATCGAGGAGACCTTCATAGCCACTAATTACGATTTCTTGCCGCTGCTTTCTTTGCGTGCAAGTAAGCATGTATGCCTGAATTTTGCTAGCCAGCCTGTGTGGAAACACGTGTACGCAGTATGCAAACATGGGACCATCCTTACTGAAAACAACCTCTGCATTCGACGAGAGGCCGATGTTCCAAGCAGCGATATCTAGAATTTAGAATGCTACCACTGGAAAGTGTGAGATCTTTCTACTTCTACGAATGTGGAGCCTGCCGCGCTAGCCACTAGCAGTGCAAGCACTGAAGCACCTTAATCTCTCCAAAGCTGTGACTGAACCTTGCGTACCAAAATGCCGGGCACTTGCATGAACAGCACAGCTTCACATGTCTTTAGATGCACGTGCCTGGCATCCAGACTTGAGATCTGCCTTCCTTTGTTTCTACCTGTCAGTCTGTCTGTCTGTCTTTTTGCCTTGCTGCTGCCGGTTCAGCTTAACAAAGCCGATGGCCTGCACCCGAAACCCGAAAGCCCTTGACATCCGGTCGAAACTCCGAACCCTCAAACCCACACCCGCGCAAGGGAGAAGAACGAAGCCGACCCTTAGCAACGAGGCTCAGACATCGGAGGGTTGAACAAGTAGGCCATGGCTCAAAGGCTCGAGAATTCGGAGTTACTTTCGGGGGACCCTAAACCCTAGACCCTACGGTTCGGTGACTCGTGGGAGTTCAGGGTTCGGGGGATTGGTGTCTCAGCTCTTGCAACTACAACCTCGACGGTTTGTTGCTTGATGGTGTTGGTGGCGTCTTTTCCCGACTTCCGATTTGGGTTCTGTAGCGCAGATATGTTCAGAGGTTTGGTGCTTGGAGTTCTGCGCCGGGCTCAATAAAAGCTTACCGTGGACAATGGTTTCTTCAGCGTGTGGTGCATGGTGGGCTTGTATGAAGCACCTTCTCAATAGAAAGGGGCTTTAAGGATTCATGTAACAGTCATATAGGTATACCTTAGGTTTATATGGCATAGGCTTCTGTTGGGGTCGCATGTTGTGCTCTACCTTCTCTACTTACTGAGCCACCCCTTCAGAATTGCCGCAGGCTGCACCTCGACCGTCACTGAATCCAACACAGCACGGCAACGTCATCAGCCAGGCGGGGCTTTTTTATTGGAATCTTGTCCAACCTACGATGGTTTCCGGCCTTTTGTTGTCTGAAACTCGCGCTAAATCCTCGGGTTCGTACACGTTACGAATGAAAACTAACTCGGCGCCCTATGCGCCTGCCGCACCCATTTTCCCTCACCCGCAGCAATATTCCGTCCCTTGCCGTCGCGACGCTCGTGGATGAGCCAAGCGCCCTCCAAGAGACTCGCCTGCACTCTTACCTTCCAGTGTCCGGAAGATGTGCAAATGAGGGCAGACCCGGGCAGAGACGTAAACAGCGCTACACCCAACCCACACGCGGCTTGCAGTCACACAAGGACTTCTTCCTCAGATGAGCGAAGGATCACCACGTCTCCCAACACGCTTCTAGCACACTCTGCCAGCGCCAAGGCTCTACAGCCGGGGCAGGACAGTAGCCACCAATGCAGCCACTTTCGCCAGTGGAGTAGCAACCCTGTCATGATCAGGCAACTTCGCCGGACACTTAAGTGACTTAACAAGATATTGGCTCGAAATTGTGCCACAACAACTCCATTGGAAGGAACATGTACAGTCCTTGTTGCTCGGGCAATAGTGATTGCTGCCTGAGCACAAGGATCTAAACAAGACACATGCGACGAAGAATCCAGTCTTTGTTTGGACAAAGTTCATCGTTTGAGCGAAGCAAGGCTGTGACTTTCCCTGCTGTCGAGTCACTGCAGCTGGTGCAGCAGCCCCTGGCAAAAGGGCACAGTACAGAAACTCCTGCACATTCCATTGGTTTCGGCACCAGACAAGAAACCACCTCAACCCAGGAATCCAAGACCAAGCCGCAACAAACCGCATCGCCAACGAAACAAACTCAGCCAGCCGGCCCGTTGTCTGGTGGCACCGGGCAGCCAGATGGGTGGGGAGCTGGAGGGCTCGGAGGACTCGGAGGGCTCGGCGAAGACGCTTCCAGAACAGCCTGTTCGGGCGACAATCCCACTCAGCGGAAACAGATTCAAACGCAGAACCGCGATGAGACAGGCCCAAGCCTCGACTCAAGAGAGGGGCAGAAATGATTCATCACAGCAGGCTATGACGGACGCTAAAGGGAAGGGACAGCTACTACAGTGTCACTACAGAAACAGTTCAGCAACAAACAAGAAACACAACAACTGGCGCAAGGAAAGAAACCGACGACACCAAATATGAGAAAGCTCCTCTCACAGGCACCAAGCTCACCCCCTAAACTCACTGTCTCTGACAATATGCCTGTGTCCTTCCCCATAGTTCCCCTTTCTTGCGTTATGCTGTTGTGGGTGCAGTTGCTCACAGTGCACGTGCGTTTGGCTGCTCTGGAAGGGCTGCACGGGGACTCGCTCATGAATCAACGTTCACACTTCGACCCCTTCGCGTGCGAGTGACTTTGCCCAAGCATCATCGGGGCGCTTCAGAACCCCAAAACTTACAGCATTGCCCCCTTCTTCGCCTACCATAGCCTAGGCCTAGGCCAAGCGACACCGCAAGCCCGGCATCCTCCCTAAGAGAAGCCTTCAGGAGCTGGTGGTCGGAGGGCGAGCCGGGACCTCATCCGAGCCGTGTTCCCTAAAATCGCCATCACCGTCCAAGACTTACAAGCAGTATTCGTCACTGTAGCAGCAGCAACAGTAGCAAAGACAGGGAGGAGAGTGTCATGACCCAGTTGTCCAAGGCTTGCAGGGGGCAATAACACTCTGACACCTTGTCTCATCTCCGCCGTAAGCTTCGACTGCCTTCTCTCGCACAGTGGAAGAAGTTCTTTTGCTGTCTTCTTACACCCTGAAACCCTGCTCCAACTAAGCCTAGACTCGGCCTGGACTCGATTCAGGATTGGCTATCTCGGTTCTTACTTTTATCGAAGTAAAAAATACTCCGGGAGGGCAGCGGACCATGCATGGGAACTCATGAAATGTTGCTTGCTCCGCGGAGATCACAAGAATCTAGATGATTCATTTCTGTATCTCCTGCCTGCTGGTACTGCCACTATGCCGGAGTGGGGACTTTAAGTACGAGATCCTGCTGACAAGGAGCTGGAACCCTTCCACAAGACTCTGACGCCCTCGCTGCTGAAGATGTGGTCGGCACCATTGTACGAGGTGTCTGTGGCCTTACAGAGGGCAGGCAAGCCTTTCAGCGGGCATCCTCAGAACGGCCAAATGCGTTGCGAAAGGTATGCATAAGCCTCTGACATCAAGCTCGAACGCCTGCAGCTTACACTCACAAGGCGCCACCGAACAGGCCATCGCACAAAAGACATGTTGTGACTAACTCCGTATCCGAACCTGAGATAGCTTCTTGATTGTGTCTTGGTTTTGGCCGCAATTGAAGTCGCCAGTAAAGACGACCAGATCCTCAGGAAAATCAGCCCAGAAAGCCGTCTGACCTGTTGATTTAAAAACCTACCTTAAGTTGACACGCTGAAAATGTGAGGCATATTCATATCCTTTACAGAAGTTAGGGCTCTCTGATAAACCACAGGCACTTTCTGGAGCTTATCACGGGCAGCCTATCGTATGAATGGCAGGCATCGCCCGGCTTCTTGTGGCTGTAAACCGCATTGACCTCAGGAACATGCGAAATCTTATGCAAAGGCACGGCGAAGCCGCGTCCAATGACACTTTGCAGGCTGGCATTCCATCACGACGACAGCTGTTGCGTTCTAAGCTCCCTCCTTAGCAGAAGAGTCAGTTATCCTGCCCTGATCCTGCCGGGCTGCGTAGTTGGAGGCAACTGTTTCACCAGGTCCACCACCGCATTGATCTAAGGGTCCGTGCCTGAGCTCGGGATTGGCCTTTGGCTGCAGACCCGCGAACAAGCCAACTGAGCTAGCAGGTTGAACGGTGCTGTGGGCGGGTCGTGTTCGCAAAGAAGATGGTCGCGCTGCTGCCAATGACCTGCCATTGAGACAACTGCAAACCCAAAATGGCAGTTGAAGCAGCGGTGCCTGGAGCCGAACCCAGTTCATATGGCGGTCTCCGTATTTGTCCCTGCGGCGGAAAGTATAAACATGCCTTGTGCAGCAGTACGCACAAAACCCTCGCAAAGCAAAGGCTTGCGCAACCAACAGATGTGCAGGCCTGGAGATCCAAGCCGTGCCAGGCCCTTCGATTGCTATGAACTTAGAGTGTTGCCATGCCATCGGAGCATCGTTGCCTGACAAACAATTTGCACACGCAGACATTCGACTCAAGCTCGATGAAAACAACCGGCGTCATCAAGTGGCACCGGCCTGTCTTCGGTGTGTAGTACTCGAAGCTGGCGGCTAAACTGGTCCCACCGATGACTTTGCCTGGTCGTTACACATATCGCACGTGTCACGGTGCAGACACATCGAGTAAGTACATGAGCATTTTTCAAGGCAAGCGACCTACGTCATCGCATTCTTGGAAGCCGATCAGGTCAAACGGGCCATTCTGTTGTATTCGCGCAAACAGCTTTTGGAATCCCTTCCCGTCTTTATTTTGCGGACAGTTCCCGTACTCGTCCGACACGCACCACCAATACAAGTTGTAGGTGACCACCTTACACATGCTCAGATCACAGGCATCCAAGCCCGTCAGCATCAGAAACGACCTAAAAAGCCCACAGCCTCGAGCCGGCAACCTGGGGCTGCGACAATGAAGGGCTGCCCGCCAGCACTGATGGACGTGTTCAACGCTGTCTCAAGGGATTGGTTGGATATCTCACTTTGGACGATCCGCACCAACCCACACAGCCACAGTAAGTAACCTCCCTTCATGGCGAGTCCGGGCTGCTTGAGGCGAATCACTGCGCAATGCCAGATGTGCATGGGCAAGCTGCTGAAGCTGGCCGACACAGATCCACCCTCAACAAGATGATGCACACGGACGACTTGCAATCCAAAAAGCTACAAAACAAGCAGCTCACTCGCCCCGTTTTTAGAAATCTGCTACAAGTGACAGAAGCTCTGTCTGCCGGAACTTGATTTGGGAAGCCGTGAAGGCCGCCCGGAAAATGGGCAACAACACACAACCAACTGCACAAGAACGTCGGAGATCCACTTGGTGGATCTCCAACATTCCTACTGAAGCTAGAAGCCGTTGCTCCGAGCTGTGATTGTGGGAAACATGTGCTACCGCAGGTCAGAAATTGCGGCCGTGGCAACCCTTCCTCCACCACCACACTGCCGGCCAGCAGCACCACCTTCGGCACCGCATCCTCCAGCGCTAATTACTTCCAGTAGCGCCGTGCCCACCAGAAACATCGCCTCCGATGCCACCCGCGCAAGTGCTGCCTTCAATATCCTGCACCACGCTCTGCTCGAGACTGGTCTCCCCGATACAGTTCGGGAGGTTGGTCTCCTGATAAAGAAATCAGCGGAACGTTGCCTGGTTTGGCCTCAGCCTGCCAAATCTGCAGAAACTACAGAAAAGGCGTCATTTCGGGTGCGGAGTAGAACAGGACCGAAGGGACATCCATCTATTCCCGAGACCGGGTTGACTCTCATGCGTTGCTGTACTAGTAGGGGGAGGTCTGCCACAAGCAGCACCGCCACCACTGCCGCAAGCTTTACGATCACCTATATCAACAGGGCACTTCCAGCACTGCTGGCACGAAGCTTCCTGCATGAGCGCAGACTCATTCATCGGCTCTTGGTTCGACACAGGTTGGCCGGTCCTTGGCTGTTTAGACCCAATGCTTCCAACCATCAGGCGCTGCCTGCATTCCTGGAAACCACATACAGCACAGAGTACGCTTATGTATTACTCCGGGGAAAGTTGCCCACTCTTCGTTTGCAACAGCTGTTGAGGATGACGAAGGCATGGTGCTTGCGGCAGATTCCAGAGCGCAAACTAGAGCTCGGGTTTGACATGCAACAAACGCCAAAGCAACAAAGTCTTTGCTTCCGCTCCTGGTTAAGACACGGTTCATGGCTTGGCTGCTACACTTGTCTGTACCAAGGTCGAATATCCGTCTGAAACGTCTGGCTTCTGGCGCTGTGCAAAAACAGTTGTTTTCTGGATTGAAAGGCGACCAGCCTTCATTCAAGATCCTGCGTTGCAGGGCGCTTCAAGCCATGAGCTGTGCCTCATGAGGCTCGGAGCAGGATTGCGTAGTCAGGGTATAGGACGCTTCGGTAGATTCTTGACACGCATGTTTTAGCAACTGGCATACCCGGACAGTTATTATGTCCATCTCCATCAGCTGCAATGGAGACACTCTGGTAATATGTAACATGCAGTAACACTGTAGTTGCGTCGCTTCGGATCACAGGCCGTCTTGTAAGGTCTGGGTTTGACGTTGTAGCATTCCTGCTGGGGATTTCAACAGGTAAATGTCCGTACAGGTTCCTGCCCGGTGGCCGGATCTCTTGAAGATAGCGAATCCCAGACGGCAGGACACAGCACAGAGACCAGCGAAAGGAAACCAAGCGAAAACCGTGACTGCTGATGACAACCGCTGAGTATCACCACCTGGCATGGAAGCACCGCCGCATCTGGCACAGCGACTGCATTCCGGCCAGCCTGACCCAAAGAAAAAGAACCTTGTTACAGGCTTCGGAGCGTTCGTACCCAGCTGTGGCTGGGGTCAGAGAAAGAGTTCGTCGGGTGGTTTTTTTCCCGCACCGCCGAAGTTGCGAGGCTGCTGAGAGAACACCCTGCCTACAGAGAGTCACAAGTGTAAAGTGTACACGTCAGGCACTTAATTTCCAAACTATCGGGTGGTGCCATAACAACTTACAGTAGAACCTCCTCCTAAACCCGAACAGACATGATAAGACTACTCAAAGCCTATGCCTACGCCTACGTCACTCCGGTCCCCTAGCCGAAACACATCTTTGTTTCAGGTCTCCCGGCCTGGAGATGCACGTCTGCTTCGGCCTTCTGCTTGTGTTCCGCTAGTCCGGAGTCCTTCACTTCGTTCTTTTGGACATTGAGATACAGGAGAAAACCTGAAAAGACGGTGCAGTGCGGAAAGGACAGGGTTGAAAGTGCTTCTGATTCTGTTGACGGGATGCTCAAGTGGGCCTGCCAGTTTTCGAGTCAACAACTTGCAGTTTTGCACCAACAAATGGAACAGTAATTCACCTCGGCCAGGAGACCCAATCAAAACACCACATGTGGAGGTTGTACTACATTCAACCAGTAGATGCCCCAAACAGCTAGCCAGATGGGTCAGATAGATGTCACGAGTGTAGGGCTTTGAGAAGTCGAACGTTTGAAAGCTTGAACGCACCACGTGGAGGACGAGATTGGGAATAAAGCTAGCAAGGTTTGCAATTTGCAGAATGAAAAGTTTGGAGTACTGCAACTATGCAGTGATTCAAAGGGATGTTATTGACAACATTGGGGCTCACATGTTCGTAGCACGAACCGTGTGATGAGTATCGGGTTGGCAAGCAAACGCAGGGCCTCTCAAACTCGAAACTTCCACACCTCGAGCTTTCATACCTTCGAACGCTTACACGATGAAATACTATGAACTTCGGAACTCGGCGGACCGTCAAAGTTTCGAACTTGATGTGCTTGGAAACTTAAACTTTCAAAACTTGAACCTTTCGAACTTGCATGTCCTTGAAACTTTCAATCGCTCAAACTCTCAAACTTTCAACCCTTCGGACACGCAACTTCTCAAACTATCGAACTCGACTTCAGTAGTCCGCCGCGAACCCAGTGAACCTGTCGAACTCGAAGCCTTCAATCTGTCGCACCTTCTGACCTTCCAAGATTGAATCCATCAAGCTCTCAATCTTTCGAGCTCTCGAACTCGCAACTTCGAAAATTGGACCTCGAGCGAACTTCCAAACTTTGAGCTCGGATCACTTTCAATCTTCGAGATTTTCGAGTGCCCGCGCACTTGCGCATACCAACGTGCCCACACAAACGCCTTTCAAACCTATTCAAACCTTCAAGCTTTGGAAACTGTCGAGCTTCATGCCTTCGAACTATCAAACGATCGAACCTTCGAACACCCTCGCACCGTTCAAACAGGCAACTACCTTTGTGGGTGCGGGGCGTCTGCAATCGAAGTAATCAACGGGATCATCGCAATGTGTCGATGTGATCCCTTGGCCCTTGTCCATCGAGCAGAAGCAATGTACACCAACACCCTCACATTGAATTCAAAACGAAACCTGAACCCGTGAGCCGTGAACCACTCGGCTTCAACCCGACATCTGGGGCACAACAAGCGAAGACAGCACCGGCACCCACAGTGGCCCCGAAGCTGATCCCGATTATGGCGCCAGCGCCGAGACCTCCGTTTCAGCAGCAACGCAGGGGGATGGGGATGGGGACGGTGTGAGAAGGACAGTGCGGTAGGAGTAGGGGGGTGTTGCAGCTGAGAGCCAGAGGAAAGAAGTGAAAATGGACTGGCAGTGGAAGCAGCTGACTTGGACAGCAAGCCAAAAATCAGAGTTACTGTATCCTTGCCCAGGCGCCACAACCTCCAGCACCGCAGCATTCGAGGAACGATGCCGACAAGAACTCATCACAGTTTTCCACACTCTCCATGCATTGCTCATGTTCGCACTGGAGGCAAGCATGGCAACGATCTTCAGAAGACATCAGGTTAGCGCAAGCACTACGCATCTCTGCTTCCGATGCTAGGCGGCACTCCCCCCGGTCATTCGGGTCATTGAACACGCCGTAGCGGCGTCGAGCTCCCGCCGAAAGCATCACAAACGTGCTATAGGCGTATGCGGACTCATAGGAGGACCGGCTGGCTCCGCTTCCGCTTCCAGACCGTGATCCTGTCCCTGATGATCCTGATGTGCCGCCTTTTGCATCAGCTTGCAGGAGCAATATTGCCAGCACGAGGGCTACTTGAGAGCGAGCGTGGTCCCGGCATGCCGGAATGCAGCAGGCTACCATGCCCAACCGAACCTCTTACAAACCCCAACCAGCCAGACTTTCATGCTGGGCTCACCCGCTGCCAGCGGCAAGTCGTGATGCCTTTTTGTCCATGGCATCCATTTGTCCCCACCTCGAAGTCCCCTCCTGCAATGCCAAACAATGAACTTTTGCCACGACCTTCCCAACCTGCTCCCCCACACTTCTTTTGGATGCACTATGATGAGCGGCCTGGACTGCCGTTGCCAGGCTGGCAGGAGCCAGAAGGGCAAGCCGTTTGCACGACTTCAATGCAACGTGCGTCGCTGTCTTCACGTCAGGCCTGGTTGCTGCTGCTTTTCTGCGCGTCAACCCGCGTGCCACCTACCTCCTCCGTGCTACCTCCGCACCGGACGGCCGACTAGTCCCGCCAACATGATCGCGCCGTTGCCTCGTGCCTTGGCACCCTGGTTTTACAAGCAAGGAGGAAGCACCCGGGCTGCCGGTTGCTTTTGCCAAGGCGCAGCTACCGTTCGGGTTGGGGGGCTTGGCAGCCGCTTCTTGGGCTTCGTGGCAGGATGCCTTCCCTGCACGATCGCGTGTTGTTGCAGGCCCTGC